AATGGGATTCGTGGGTGTCATACATGTCTTTTTCACATGGATACATTTCATGTGAGCTGTTTCAAAGGAAAACTGTGTTTCCCATCAGTTATTTTAAAGGCGGAAAATGAAGCTCTGATAAGGACAGGACGACCTTGGATTCAGTGATGCAGGAATACATGGAAACACAAAAGTGTATGTTTAAAAATACATATATATTTTAAATCAATTATATTTAAATGAAACATTAAAGAAGGTTTAAAACTTGAGGCTTCCCAATAATTTTACGGTGTTATTAGGAAAGTTCTGAAGCATATTTGTTGCTACTGTATCAGTTTCTGGGAAATACAATACAATGATGTGTTACTGGAATCATGTCCGTGTTCAATGCTATCATTTTGGCAGTTTAAAACGGACCATGATGAGATTTTTTACACCAGGAAATTGACAAATACTACAAACCTACACGTCACTTAATGTATTAATGAATGCTTAGATTTAAATAAGAGTGGCTCTGAATGTTAACAATGCAGACTAAATGTATAAGTATATGGTATAAGTTGACTTCAGTTGTACATAGCATTAAAACTGAGAAAAAATTTTCCTTTCAGGATTCAAAACCTATGGTTCTATATGGCAAAGAGTCACTTGAGTCACTGAGGAATGAGGGAAGTTTAAGCATATGTCTTAGATGCTGCACAGTCCTTCTTTGGGTAAAATAATAAATTTATTTAAACAAGTTGAAAAAGATTCTCAGCAGACATTTTAACAAAGCAGATAAAAACAAATGTTCACCATAAAAATTCCTTGGTAGATGGAATTAAAACAAAAGCAAGTGAACATTATATGCATTTCTGGGGTTACTATTTGAAAAGGTTAACCATTGTTTGTCCTTGCAGGGTAGCAGAAAAATTGGAATTTTTATATATTGTGGGTTAGTGGGAAGCCAACGGGAATGACATTTTGGGTCACAGTTCCACATATCTTAAATGTAAAACATTCACCTACACAACAGATTGATAAGTAAAACATATGTCTATATAGAGAAGTGAATGAAAATATTCTCAAAAGACTTATTTATAATATCCCAAACCTGCAAATAACAAAAAACATAGATCAATAGATAAAGGGGTTATTCACAGAACCCAGTGCTACTCAGCAATAAAAAAAATAATTCACTCTCCACATAAGCATTTGTATTGAATCTCAAAATGACTGTGTAGCATGGAGGAAATCAGCATTTGTTAAAAAGTACACATAAATTGTGCCTATAAAATTATGAACAGTATGAACTATTCTATGAAAATCCATGAGTGCATGGAGGGCTGAGAAAGGCAGAAAGAGAGATTACAACAGGGCAGTAGGAAAATACAGGATGTGGCAAAATAAGGTTTAGTGTTGCTTTTATGGAAAATAATACAATAATCTACACTAATAAAAGAGGAACATGCAAATTGGTGTCACTCCGCTACGCCCACCAGCCAATTGGATGAGTATGCAAATCAACCCAACAAAGATGGCGGTTAATTTGCATACGCAGGTGCCGAGCGAAGACGGAAGGCTGAAGATGACTGAAGAGGCTTGGGTTCTCCACTGCGGCTGGAGTGAGCGGCCGGAGTGAAGGCCTGAGTCCCGGGTGCCGAAGGAAACCTGGTGCTGGCAGCCAGGAGAAGGGAAGGCCTATTGCAGGAATCTCTTTGTGCAAAGGGCCACTAGTTTATAGTAATAATACAGGAATAAACTCTTCCCCGGCCAGTATCCTCAGCTGGTTGGGTGTCATGCCATTCACTGAAATGTTTCTGGTTGGATTCCAGGTCAGTGCACATCCCCAAATGGATCCCCAGTAGGGGGCGTGAATGAGGCAGCATTTCAATGTGTATCTCTTTCTTTCAGCCTCTTATTCTCTCTCTCCCCCCAAAAAAGAATACAATTATTTTCTAGTTTATTAAAAAGAATAACCTCTGTGTTTTCTGAACTTACAACTGTAAGCACATTATTGCACCACCCTGTGTATGAGTTATAGGTGAGTTTATTTCAAATGTGACAATTTCACAGCTTTAGCTCTAAGTCAGGGCTCACCAAAGAGCACACATTAAAAAGATGCTCTCTGTTGCATGTTAGTTCTCATTTCCTGGGAGGACCTGCCTTGCCTTAGTGGAAGCAAAAGGTGGCAAGCTGTGAAGACTATTGCCATTGGAATCAACAGGAATGCTGACTGGTTACAAAAGACACATCCTGGGGCTGATTACAGAATCACCCTTCCTCTAGCTTTGAGTCTTGCCTGTTGAGCAACAACCTTGAGGTGAACACCACAGATGGACTCGGGGAATCCACAAAACCATTAGATTATTTACTCTGCCAGTAATTTCAGCTACAGGAAATAGCGATGGAGGTCCTCAGTATGTCCTCAAATATCATACAAGCCACAGGCCCTGGAGTAATTTTGGATTTATGTCCAGAAGAGGTACTTTTCATCTAGTTTAACTGCAGTGTCTCCCATGACTACGCAAACAGTGTTTATGTCCCAATTCCACCTCAGAGTCTTACAACAAGTGACACCAACCTATGAAATCTCATACATCATGACACATGGCCTCTTTGGAGCATGTGGAGAGTAGTTCCCCTAAACATTGCTGACATTTATGTAATACACACTGTGAGCAGAGAACATAATTCATATTGTTCACAGGGGCACAATTAAGGCCTCCTCTTCAGGGAGACCACTGACCTCTACAATAAAAGAGGCACCAGACAGCAAATTAGAACCACAAAGTCATGCCCACTTTCTCTCATGGCCTTGGTCGGCAATACAAAATCAGCCAATATTGAACAAAGTGATTTTCTGCCATGAAGCGGTGCCTTCCAAAGCACAGATAGTTTGGGACCCACCATATCTGTTCACCTGTCCAGGCTAACAGATCACTACTTTCCTTTCAATCATCCCAGGGAAAAAATACAACCAACAAAATGAAAGATACCAAAGAAAAAACACCTTTCCATAAAGATCATAAACCAGAAAAAGGACAGCAAGAGATTTGCAGGATGGTGAATTGGAACCTGAAACAATTCCCCACAGCATAATGTGAGAACCATAATGTCTCTGAAAGAGGTAGCACTTCTTAGCTGAGGCAGGGGGCTTTTGACAAAACCTGGGTCAGATCAATTCTCTAGTCAGAGAGAAAGGAATGAAGATCCAGCCAGGAGCTTTGAATATTCATGATATTCTCAAGCACAACCCCAGAGTATGCAGAGGCTGTGAGTGATGCACACTCTAAAGGTGAGCCAGGTGGTAGGGGGGAAATAGTTTCCCCACAAATACTCTCAGTGACATCAATCAGGTAGGAGGCCTGACTGGGTTAGCAGGTATGATGCAGTTTCTGAAAACCTCAAATTGTACCTGAAACTTATAAGGAATCTAGCAGAATGTATGTTCTGTTACAAGGTATTCCTTGTAAATGGGTGTAAAAGTTTCTCCATTGGTATTGTTATTCTGAGTGAGAAAGATAAAAAATTCCCTGCACATTTAAAGCTTTTCTCCAGTGTGTACTCTCAAGTGTTGAACGAGGAAAGATTTGTAGCGAAAAGATTTCCCACATTTAATACACTCATGAGGCGCTTTTCCAGTGTGAACTCTGTGGTGTCGAATGAGAGTAGAACTTCTGCTAAAGGACTTCCCACAATCACTACTCATATGGCTTTTCTCCAGTGTGAACTCTCCGAAGTTTATTGAGAGTACAGATTTGCCTGAATGACTTCCCACAGTCACTACACTCATATGGCTTTTCTCCAGTGTGAACTCTCTAATGTTTATTGAGACTAGAGATTTGCCTGAATGACTTCCCACAGTCACTACACTCATATGGCTTTTCTCCAGTGTGAACTCTCTGATGTTTATTAAGAGTAGAGATTTGCCTGAATGACTTTCCACAGTCACTACACTCATACGGCTTTTTGCCAGTGTGAACTCTCTGGTGCTCTGTGAGAATGGAGTTTTGCCTGAAAGACTTCCCACATTCACTACACTTATAAGGTTTTTCTCCAGTGTGAATTCTCTCATGTACAGTGAGGCTAGACCTAATACTGAAGGACTTGCCACAATCACTACACTCATACGGCTTTTCTCCAGTGTGAACTCTCTGATGGTTTCTGAGAGCAGAGTTTTGCCTGAATGACCTCCCACATTCGCTACACTCATAATGTTTTTCTCCAGTGTGAACTCTGTGATGTTTAATAAGGTGAGAGCTATCACTAAAGCATTTCCCACAATCACTACATTGATGGGGCTTTTCTCCAGTGTGAAAGCTCTTGTGTATAAAAAGGTGGTAACTGCACCTAAATGACTTTCCACATTCACTACATTTGTAAGCTTTTTCTCCAGTGTGAACTCTATGGTGTTTAGTGAGGGAAGACCTCTGATGGAAGGACTTCCCATGGTCAGTACACTGATAGGACTTTTCTCTAGTGTGAACTCTCCTATGTCTATTGAGGTTAAAGATACATCTGAAAACTTTCCCACATATATTGCACTCATATTTCACTTCTCCAGAGCAGATGCCCTGATGTTGAACAAGGTTCTGGTTGTGGCTGGCAGCGTTTTCACATTTATTGCATTGGTGATGCCTGTTTCTATTGAGTAATTCCTGTGAAATCTCACTGCCACTGTGTGGCTCCTCAGTGTTGAGAGTGGCCTGGTTCTGCAGAACCTCTGAGATGGCTGGGAAGTCTTCCCCAACCTCCCTACTGGCTTAAGGCAGCCCTGGTAAGTAGAAGCTGAACCTGGTCACAAATGAGGCCCTGTCCACAGCTCCTTTCCAGGGCTTCTCTCCACTGGCTTCCCTCTGTTGCTGGTGAGGGTTTGCACTGAAACACAAGCCTGTCAAACATGCATCACTGACGAAGCCTTTCTGCTCAAAGTCTGCTGCTTGTGACTCCGTCAGATGCAGAATTTCTTTGAACACTGAGAAACACCGCTTACAAAGATGGGTCCTCTGGGTTGCTGGAGCTGTCTTAGAAGCCCTGACCTGTGACTCCCCTTGTACAGATACATTCTGCTCAGAACAGGCCTCCACCCCATTCGATTTATGCCAACAACCTGAAAACAGAAAAATAGTGCTGAAATGAATGTCGACTGTGGTGACAGGGAGAAGTGCCTTTACAAAAGTGTTGCACTAAAGATGTTGGTTCCATGTACTTGTCTGGCAGTAACATATCTGTAGGAAGAATATATAAGATGCTGCTGTGAAGTTCTGTGCTACTGAATATCATGAAACGGGAACGATCCCAAACAAAATATAAACAAACATGGCAAGCACCATATGGAATAGAAGCTGGATCGTCTCTTCATTCTGTTAACAGTGTTCAGCTGGGCTTGTCTGCTGGTGACATGGGCAAGCTATGCAGAAGGTTGCTCACATCTTATTCCAAGTAAAATTCAAGACATGAGGTGGTTGTGTTGTGGACTATGTAAGCACATGTGTACAGGTTAACATTTGAGGATACTGCAGAGAGCCTTACAGGTGGACAGGGGATGCAAAAAGGCCACAGAGGTAAAGGTAGCTAAAATCCAGGAAGTCACAGATGAAAAGAGAAGTCATCAAAGTGTCAAGCATGGGAGTGAAAAGGTAGAAATGAGCTGCTGCCAGTGGCACTTGAACCTAAACTCTGTTGGACATGAGCAGGTTCCTGGTATTCTCTAAACACAACCCTTAGGACAAAGCTGCCCCTAGGTGCACCTCAATCGAGCTCTACTACCTCTTAGTTCACCCTGTGAAAAAAACTAGGGTTCTCTTTCCACCATCTACTGTACAAGCACATAAAACACAAATATTCTGAGTTTTACTGAAAGGCAACAAAGGTGGCCAGCCAGCACTGGCCCTGATACACACAGCATGTAATAGTATCTAGGTAACAGAATATTACAAACAATGGAAGGAATGTCTTACAGAACTGCCGTGGTTCCTGTAAATAAAGACCATAATCTGGCATAGTCACAAACAGCCTTTAGCTGAGGAAGGGGTCAGAAATGGAAGCCATGCATGTGGACATAGTCACCCTCACAGGAAAAGAAAGTTCAAGGTGGGACCCATTAAGCTTTCCCCAATAATCCTGATTCCCGAATACTTCCTGCACTATTTGAGGCAATGGATTTGAAGGTTAATCATGGAGTCCTTTGCTAAGGGATCTCCACACATCACAAGTCAGCACTGGAAGCCACAGCACATTTACAGGAGAGTTGGTAAAACTAGCCCATGGTCTGGCTGGGGGAGAGAGAAAGCTACATTTGGAAAAGAAAGGAAGAGAGGACATCACTTCAGGACACTAGGAGAGATGTGAAGGTCTTACCTACAGATGATACCAGTGCAAACCCTTCCAGCAGCACATCGCAGTACAGAAGTCTCTGAGCCTCATCAAGGAGCCCCCACTCCTCCTGAGAGAAGGCAATGGCCACGTCCTCAAAGTTCATATCCTGTCATAATGGGGACAGTACAGCCCATGAGCACTTCACTCCAAGGATTTTATGTTCATAATGTTCCCCACATTCACATATATCTGCTCCCTCATCTCCTGACATCAGAAAAGATACCAGGCATTGGTCCCATCAAAGTCACTCTCTCCTTATATTCCTACTGATACTGTGTTTTCACACAACAATAAGGGCAGATGTCCGTATAGATCAGTGATGGCGAACCTATGACATGCTTGTCAGAGGTGACTTGCGAAATCATTTTTTTGGTTTATTTTTCTTTCTTAAATGGCATTTAAATATATAAAATAAATATCAAAAATATAAATCTTTGTTTTACTATGGTTGCAAATATCAAAAAATTTATATATGTGACACGGCACCAGAGTTAAGTTAAGGTTTTTCAAAATGCTGACACGCCGAGCTCAAAAGGTTCGCCATCACTGGTATAGTAGATGATACTGCTCTGGGACTCACATGTAGGCCACACTGTCACTTGTCAACACAGTGGGTGTCATGAATATAGGGTGGGGAGAGATGTTGTCCATAAGGAGACTGTGAGTGATTTGACACTGTTCCTGTTAGACAACAGCCTTGTCGTCACCCTCCCCATTCTAATTTCAAACCCAGAAAATTATGGCATCAGACTTCAACCTTTTGAACCCAATCCCAGGGTGCTGAGGCCATCACTTTGCACTACCTGCTGCACATAAGTCTTTGAACCACACTTCTCACACAGCTTAATTCCCAGAGGCACAATGTGAAACGTAACACAAATTTGCCATGATGAGCACAGTTTATTTCCTAATTATCTTATTTTCCAAATGTCAAATTCACCACCTCTGTAATGTATATCTCTCTCACCCTTCTCCACGCTGGTGGATATTTTCAAGCCCAGATGACACTGATGTATGCTATCTCATTCCTATTGAACACTGTAACAACCATCAACAACAAAAGGCAGGTGTGCACATAAATTTCTCCTAAAATCTGGACCAGGAATATACCACCAGACCACACCCTCTTTTCAGGAATTGATCTGAAATTCATCATATCATATTATTCAGACATCACCAGAAATGGACTCAAATTTCATTCCCTCTTATGTCAATCTTGGGGCCCTGCATTAATGAATGCACAGGCCCTCTCCAAGGGCACACTCTTTCTTGCACACCTCTCTCACATCTGTACTCCCACACCCTCGGCCCCCATAGTCACATCCTTGACATCCTACTCATTACTTGGCATGTGTGGTGTAGTGACTGCTTATCAAATCCAAACAGGATTAAGTTCTATACCCACTTTGAGAGTCCACACTCATTGAGGCAGCCTTGAGTCCTGCTATGAAGGCTTCCTTCCCTGATTGTGTTTTCCTTCAACCTCATCTATTGAAAACCACATCAGGTCTCATATATCCAGACTCCACCTCCACTGGTGCTGCAACTGATCTCCCTTCTCCAGTTACAGCCTTCAGAACTCAAGTCCCATTACATAAGGCCCTTTAGCCCATGCCCAGTGAGTCTCAGAGATGACCACTCATGCCCCTAAGCAAATCAACCAGACTGAGGACAACACACCATGCTAATTTTCAATCAAAATCTTGGTGTGCCCTAGCCAGTTTGGTTCAGTGAATAGAGCATTGGCTTGTGGACTAAAGGTACCAGGTTCGATTCTGGCCAACGGCACATGCCCAGGTTGCAGGCTCGCCCAACAGTAGGGGATGTGCAGGAGGCAGCCAATCAATGATTCTCTCTTATCATTGATATTTCTATCTCTCTAGCTCTCTCCCTTTCTCTCTGAAATCAATAAAAATATATTTTTTTTAAAATCCTGGTATGTATTTAACAAGTAAATATGCAACAGCTGAAGTCTCATCTTGTTTAAATTGCTCTTTAGTCTTCAACTAAAAAAAAAGATTACATACAACTCCACCTTGGTATCTACATTCCCCATACCATTTTTGAAAAATATATATTTTATTGATTTTTTACAGAGAGGAAGAGAGAGGGATTGAGAGTTAGGAACATCAATGAGAGAGAAACATTGATCAGCTGCCTCCTGCACACCCCCTCCTGGGATGTCCTGCAATCAAGATACATACCCTTGACCGGAATCGAACCTGGGACCCTTCAGTACGCAGGCTGAGGCTCTATCCACTGAGCCAAACCGGTTAGGACCCGATACCTTTTAAAGAGATTTTCATCCTGAACTGTTTCTCAGAGTTGCAGACACTCATGAACTGCTCTCTGAAATATCCCAAACCCTAAAGGGTAAAAAATAAAAGTTTTGGTATTCACAATGAACATCACACTTCCTACTATGAATATCTATCCGCATCTCAGTTGATGCTTCCATACCTCCAGTTGCCAAATGCAAACGTTCATGTCGTCCCTGACTCTTACCTCTCTCTCATCCTCAAAATTAGAAAAGCCAGGTGGCCACACCTAAAACACTGATCCAGAATCCAACTGCTTATTTCACCTCCACAGACACCATCATGGGCCAGTTACCATCACACTCGCCCAGAGTATCACAGCTGCTTCCTTCCTCGTATTTCCACCACACCCCTCATACCCTATAGTTCATTATGCTTCAATCAAGGGAGTCTAATGAGACCTGGGTCAGATCACCTGCCTCCACTGCTCCAAATCTCCTACTGTTCCCATCACCTGCAGAAAAGACTCCCAAGTTGTCGCAAAGCTCCTCTAGACCTGACTCCTAACCATTTTACCACTTCCCTTTTTGTTTTTTTAAAAAAAGGATACTTTAAAGTCCCTCCACAAACCCAGTCTTTACTCCAAGCCTTTGCATATTCTAGAACATATGCCTGGGAGGACCTCTCATATCCTATTCCACAGGTTGCCAAAAACAGAAACTATGCATATAACCAAATAGAAAGACTTAGAATTCCGGGATTGGTGTCTCTTCAAGGTCCCCACCTCCAATGACTGGAAGAGTGGCTGGACAGTCCCAGAAACCATAAGAGAGGGAGGTCCTGAAATAAGCTCCACAAACAAGTCCCCTAAGTGGTTCCGCATCGACAGGAATCTGTGGAAACTAAAGGTCTGTTGAGAGCCTGGCAACCACCACCAGGATCCATGAGTTGGGCTGCCCAGCCCCAGGGTCAGGTGACTTTGAGATGCCAGCATTACTTTAGAGCTCGGTCCTCAGTGCACACTCTTGCTAGGTGGCTGTATTTTACAGGACTTCTTCTTCCTGTCCCTCACTGCTGTCCCCTCTCCTCTAGTCGGTTCTTCTTCTGAGCAGTTTTGAGAAAAGTTTAGAACCCTCCCCCCTCACACATCCCTCATTTGTTCACAGCCAGCGATGGCAGCAGCTTCCTGAAAATGAAAGAAAAACTCACCCAAAACTCTGCTTCACCTTCTTTGTTGCCTTTTGACATTAAACAGACCTGGTGTCTGGAATCCTCCCAGGTGAGCCACCCCACCACGTCCTTAATGGCTGGCATTGCAGTCTGTCACCCTCTTTCACCGTGTCACACCGTGCGTCACCCAGCTGAGACTCACTCTTCCGGAAACGGTGACCTGGACTGCAGGACCTGACAGGCTCCCTCACCAGAGCCTGGAGCGTAAATGGTGTGAGGCTGAATGGAACTCTGTAAGCAGAGGGGAGTCTGGGAAGCAAGGAGGCTTCAGTTGCACCAGTGGCTGCTCAGCAAGCTTCAGACACACCTTGCAGAGCAGGGACACTGCCTCTGATGCCTCAATGTAGTTTAAACCCCCAGCGCTGGAGCCTCTGGCTATGGTAACAGAATAAAGAGGTCAAAAGGACCACAGGGAGAAAGACCCCGGAAGTCACAGCCAAGCGATGAGCCCGGGATAATGCGCCTCTCCTGGGCTTTCATTGGCTAAATCAGCCATCGTTAGGCGCATTGTCTGTTGGGTAATGTACTTTTGCAGGCCCAACAGGTGGCATTAGGATCCTAATTACTCGCTGACAATTGCAATATTGGCTATGGGGTACCTGATCGGCGCTGGGAAATTACAACCTTAGGTTTTAATGGCTGGTTGCAGGTTTCTAGGGAGTGTTGTCTGCAAATGAACGCTTGTTAGGAGACATTATTTCAGATGCTATGAAGCTCAGAATGCTCCCTGAGGTGAAAAGTATTATTTTACTCATTCCTGAAGACTACAGATCTAAATGCATACACACACACACACACACACACACACACTGAGTGGCCAGGTTATTATGACCACCCAATCAGTACTTCATTGACACTTCCAAAAATACTGAATATTGAAAACTTCCTAAGCAAATACTCTCAAGGTTTTATTATTATTATAATTATTATTTGCATAACTAATTCACTTCATTATACTGATGGAGTGGTCATAATAATCTGGACAGTCATAATAATCTGGCTACTCATTATGTATATATATATATGTATATATTTACATATTTACAATTTTTTATTTGAATTTTAGAGAGAGAGAAAATGAGATGGAGAAAAATACTGATCAGCTGCCTTCTGCAAGCCCTCACCGAGCCCATATGCCCCCCTACTGAGTGCCCTTACCAGGAATCAAACTGGCAACATTTCTGTGCATAAGAGGTCGCTCAACCAATTGAGTCACTCCAGTCATTAGATTTTTATTTTTTATATAAAACTATGACATTATTAAAAGAAAATGCAGGCTATGAGAGAATATATATGATCCTGTCCTATTACTTTAAAAGTAATATTTGAAAGGATACAGAGCCCAACAGGTTGATGTTTCCTACATTGTCTGATTGTCTGCAGTCAATACACATTGTGAAGTGGTGGAGCTAACAGTTCCTGAATGTTCACTATGTGTGCCAGTCCCTGGATTCAATGCTTTATATGCATTATTATTATTTCATTTAATCCTCTCCACACCTGAGATGATTTAACTGACTATTTTATGGGGAGGAAATCCAGGCTCAGATACTCAACATAAATTGCCTGATTGTAGAGTTAATAAAAGGCAGGGCTGGAAGTCAAACCCATGTGTCTCCAACAACAGAGCTCTGGCTTC